CCAGTGAACACCAGAGTGCAAGCATGTGGAGAATCCTTCCACTCTCGATAGTCCACGAAACTCGTGTGAAGCGATATATTTCCGGCCTTCCTTAATTGCTTCCACGAAATATCATAATCGTATGTAGAGCAAATGTCAAGCAACCGGTTCTTTGCAGCAAACTTATGCTGATGCGTCGCAGTCTCCAACATTGCTCGGGACCAACCCCTGAAAGTCGAGCTTTCTTGAGCTTCGGTCAACTCGATTTCAGACCGGATTTCGTCCGTCCACTTTCTAAGATCGGCCTGGAATGCATTCAAGTCTGCATCGCTCAGAGTTGAGGTGAATTGTTGAAATGTTGACAGTTTGCCGAACCTGAACAAATAACGACAAAGGCGGACGACCACGATGAAGTACTCGGTCATATAGGTCTGTAATTTTGCGGACTGAGGGTATAGCACAGCCATTGCTTGATAGCGCGGGGAATCGCGGCCGATATCCATGAAGACGGATGATATCTTCTCCACGTAATTCGACATATTTGCAACCGACTACGTTCTGTTAGTAATCTGTTGCACATTGTTTAACGAAAATGCTAAACACTCTAGAGCCTACATTGACATTGTGTTGCCTTATTTGTACACTTTTAGTGTAATATACACTGCAGACCTTTTCAGGTTTTTCCTTGTATAGGGCGATCGAGGCATTGACAGGGAGAAGAAAGAAGTACTAACTAGTAAGAACATGCGCACCAGCGACCACACACTAGCGGCTATCAAGTTCTGTGCACCCCCGACTACAATATCCCCAAGTGCAGCAAATTGCTGAACTCCTTGGAGGAAGTTCGTAAATCGTGGCCCCCAGACCCGACTACTGAATTTCTTTGACACGCGAAGATCAATCTCGGCCGTCACCCGCATGACATCGCTCGGAGTAGGTGCGGACGAAAGCGATTTCATTTTCAGCGTACGCAATTGGGACTTCTGCTCGGTTGACAGCTCGGCTTCAAACTCGGACACGGCCTGAGCGAGGCGGATTTCAGGCATCAGCCGCGACGCTTCAGCCAGAGCTTTAGACATAACCGGTGTGGAGAAGCTGTGAGGTTGGAGAGTTGAGTCAGAGTGGGGGCCATAGGTCCACTGGAGCTTGTCAAACCAGTGGAGCGACGAGGAGAGGTGATGCGAGTAGCGAGAAGTACCTGGGTATGGTCGGAAGTTGAGAGAGGCACAAGTTTCCAAGGTTTGAGTCGCTCCACGGCTGTCGTGTGTGGAGTGGAAAACTGTAGTTTACTTTGACATGGGCATCTTTCCTGCTTCTCGCGCACAAGAGAAGAAAGAGGATGAAGAGACAGATATAGGCTGCTAGGCGGACGGCCAGGCTGAACACGAACCCATATGCTGCGCACCAGGCTGACAGGCTGCGCTTAGCTGCGCATTTCAACCGCGGCCCCGCTTGCCTCTCTCGGGTGCACAGCCGAAGTCATTGGTGACCATTTACTTTATTCTCGTCGTCGAAGACTTGAAGCTCGAGCGCGAAGCCCGGAAGGTTACTCTCGTCGTTGCGTTGCGGGTAAGGCCATGAGACCCTGACCGAATGAGGCAAGAGCTTGGACTCTGATAAAGACGATCAGAGTTGCCCGGTCTACAGAACACCTGCATGGTACGACCATTGCATACCCTCTTCTCTCTCACTATCACTTCAGAACCTCGGTGTTGACAAGAAAGCACGACATGCTAGCCGGGATTCAGCTCACAAACCGCCAAGCACAAAATCCACAATCTTTGTATGGGTATCACATTCTCCCTAAATACGAAACTAAACATCTTATTTCTATATTTCCCTAAAAGACCCATCAAGAGGCTTCCTACTAACCCCAGTATACTGCTGCTGCTGCTGCGGTTGTTGTTGTTGCTGTTCCGCGCCCGGAGTGAAAGCGCGATATGGCTGCTGCTGCTGTCCCACACTCCCCGCCACAGGCGTGTATGACCTCTGCCCCGGATATGCTGGTGCCGCATTTGTGAAAGAGCCATGGTTTGTTGACTCGGAAGCTGCGTAGCCGGGCTGCAACGCTGCTGGTGCTGGCGGGGGCGTGTAGGTATCGTATGACGGGGAGGGATCGTTGTTGTAGGCGTAGGGGTTTGCGGCGGGCGGTGAAGGGGATTGGTGGCGGTGGTCGGGTTCGTCGTAGTAGTCGCGCTGGTCGTAGGTTTGCGGTTGGTTGTAGGAGGGTTGTTGGTTGTAAGGAGGTTGTTGGTTGTAAGAAGGTTGTTGGTTGTATTGACTGAGCTGGTCGTGGGAGTCGTAGGCTTGGGGCGCGCCTGGCGAGCGGCGGCCGTAGGGTTGTTGCTGCTGCTGCTGCTGCTGCTGCTGCTGCTGTGGCGCGTATCCTTCGTTTGCGCTGTAGACTGGTGATAGGTTGTGCCCTGGCGAACCTCTGCGGTAGTCGTCCTGCTGCGCGTATGGTCGGCCGTATGCACCTTGGCCGTTCAATGGGGCTCCTTCGCTGACGAATGAATCGTTTTGATAGCCGCTTTGAGGGTAGCCCTGACCGTAGTTGTCCATTGGCGATACCGGGGACCGGCCCGGGCCAGGCGATCGTCTTTGTGTGGGCACGGCTGCCGCTGCTACGCCTGCCATTGAGCCCCCTATGGGACTGCCGTTGCGGTCTAGCCTGTCCATCTCCATGTCGCCTTGCTTCTGGGGCATGGGTTGCTCCTCGACTTGGACATGGACGTCGCGACCGTCTTTCCATGTGGGCATCGCGGGAAGCGAATCTTCGTTGACGACGGCTCGTGTCGAATCGAAGGTCGCGAACTGCGGTCTCTCGGGCTGCGCGGCTGGCGCGAAGGTGGGCATGGCGTTGGAGCGGTATTGCTGGTTCACCGGGCGGGTGTCGATGGGCGGAGGAGGCGGCGCAGCGGCATGCGCCTGGGCGTAGGGGTTCATGGGAGGAGGAGGCGCTCCATATGGCGTGGGATACGGCGCAGTGGGATCGCTCTTGACGCGCTTGTGGCCTCTTCCACCACTGCCGCTGCAGCAGCACGTGCAGCATCTGAAGCAGCAGCACGCGCACTCGGCGCCGCAGCATATGCATCGCGCTATGCAGGTAACCACGGATATGACGATGAGCGCGCCAATGATGATTACGACGATAACCGGCCATCTGTTGTCTGTGAGCAAAGGGGAAGCAGCCTGAGGCCTGGCGATTCAACGCACTTGCAGTAGGCCTTGGCCATGCAGTTGTCCCATGAACTGAGCGTATTCTTGGCCTCATCCAGCGGATTCTGGCGCGCAAACAGCGAGTGGACGAGTAGCGACGGCATGGCGATATCGAGTGTTCAAGTCTTCCGTCCAGCGGGTTTAAGGGAGTGGTTCGCGGTGCAGAGGCCGGCCGGGGTATATGGCTATGGATGGGGATATAACGATCGACGGGATAGGACGTGCCTCATGTCGCTACAGGAGTTCACGGCATCAAGGAGGAAGTATAAGGCGAGGAGTGAGTGTCGCGGTCATGTGGTGGTGCATCGCTTGCTTTGACGTCCCCTGGAATGACGCTGGGTGCCAAAGGCGAAACGGCCGTGAAGCTTGGAAGGGGCGGGACATGGCCAAGCACCCATGCCGACGCGGTCGCCGTGGCTGAGTTAGCCGCTAATCCGCGTTTCGCATCAATACAACGCTTCTTCCCCGCAAAGCCTATCGTGGCGCTATCGTATTTAGACCCGAGTGCAAGATTGTGTCGTCGCTTTTCGATCGCGCGCAGTAGCTTTTCCATGGTTGGCAATAATCTAGCGCGGAGTGGAGTTGACAGCGGGGAGGGAGTACGCAATGCTGGTGACGCCTCGCGGCATGCCATCAACAAGAGAGCGCCGAACGTCAACAAACCCGACATCCTCACATGCCATTCCGGCTACATGGCACGATCATCTTCTCCAAAGCTTGTGCACTACGCGTTCATAGCTATCAACCGGCAAGAACGGCAGAGGGCGTGCACTTCCATCCGATATCCGACATTGACATATGTAGAGCACGTCGTCTTCTTAGTTGTCATGTCGTTCCATCCATCTCATATCTACGATGCCGTTCGCTCACAAACCCCAACACTGGATTGCGGTCTGGTGTCTCGTGAGTTTGTTGAGTGGCTGGTATGATATGCTCTACGTCTGCCTACGCCCTCACAGCTTGCCCAGCGGCAAATGGCATGCGCCTTTCTTCAAGCCCATGGCACAATGGGCTGCTCTTGATAACCTATACGGAGCGCAAGCATGTATACAAGGCGACACTGTCTTATCGACTAAGGCCAATATCAGCTGCTTCGAGGTGAACCTTCACCTAGCCTACTTGTGCCAACTTGCTCGTCCAGGCGCACTCTGTTCGACATTGGAAGGCACGCGCGTCACTGGTCGGTTCGCTCCACAGATAGCTCTATGTGGTCTCCTCGCTTTTTTCGTACAGGCGACAAAGCAGATGTTCTACAGTAGGTTCAGTATCCCTCGGTAGGTGTTGTGCGAAGACATATTGAGCGCCAATGCAGTTGGTGTGCAGTTCAATTCCGAGGCCTTCAAAGAACATGCCTCTTCTAGTCTGATTTGGCTTATGGTCAGGTACGCCGGCGGCGCATCGTATAACATGAAGCCTACGTTAACGTGCAACCCAGTTACGCGTCCCTTACCATCTCGGCGTGTGCAACATTATCCTTCTTGAAAGAGATACACGCTGGCTTGTTGGACGAACACGTGACCCAACCACCTCCAGCATCTACCACGGAGAAGCCGCCGACACAGGATCCGTGATACGCATGCAAGATATCTTGTTTACCCACCGACCTCTCCACAGTAGTCTTGGACGGTGCTGGCCGCGTCCACAGAACCAAAGTTCCCAGGTGCCAAGGGCTGCCCCTCCCCCACCACCCAGCGGCAGCTTCCCCTTCCAGCCAGCTTCCAGCCGCGGACCTGCCACACTCATCTACGTCACCGATCACGCACTACCCGGTTGCTACAACGCCCAGGCCTACATAACCAGCCATGTCTTCAACCCCCTCTATTGTCGAACTACAAGCCTACTCTGAGGAGATACAAGCCCTTTACAAGAAACTTCCCAACCTCCGCGACCTGCCCGACAACAAAGTCAGCGAGACAGCCGCACTCGAACAGGACGTCCAGAATCTCGGCGTGAAAGAACAGTCCCTTGAAGACAAAGTAGACGCCTACGTTAAAGGGTTCCTGTATATCGGCGGACCGAAACCTCGACGACAGAAGCAACAAGTTACCACATCAACCTAAACAAACATGCCGGACCACCCAATTGAGCAGGGCGCCGCTGGCAGTACGTGACAACCCTCTCCCACCACCCACTGCATCTTCAACAACCTGATTAAACAATAACTGACGCGTCATCCCCACAGGCCTCACCGACAAGATCGCAAAGGAGTCCTCCGACTCGACCGCATCCTCGCACGACAACCACGCCGACGGCGGAAACCTACTCGCTTCAGCTCACAATTCCAAGGTATGCTATTCGCGTGCCGTCGTTATACACATGGGTCGGAACGGAAGCTAATGCGATGATAGGGCCCAGCCATTCCGGACAACATGCCCAAGGCGGAGAGCAAGGAGGACCTCAAGAAGAGGGCTGAGGAGCTGAACAAATAGAGTGTTGGAGGAGCATTCATGTGCGGTGATACATGTTTTGACGCTATACATATATGCAGTCCTCAAAACTATCTTCCAACCCTACAGTCTGGCATTGCCAGCAATTTGAACCCCGTTCGACAACCGCAGCCCAAAAGGCAACCCTCTCACGTATCTGTCGGTGTATGCAACTCCATCCATCTCCGCAAAAGCTTGGTCGATGTCCTTGTACATATCGTAGGCGTTCATCTCTTCAATGGTCAACTTCTTCGCCTCGTCCTCTACCTTGTAGTTCGCCATTGATGTATTGCTGCTGAAGCCTGCAAACATTTTCGTCAATACTCATTCTTCAAAAGGTCAATGATACCAATGTACGTACCAATGCGCTCGTTGATGTTGGACGCTGCTTTGGCAGCTGAAGCCTGAACCTTTGTTGCGCGAGGTAGTCTGACTTGCTCGTAGACTGCGAGCGACTCCTGCACGTCTCCCCGGAAGTAGTTCTTGCTGAAGAGAATGCCCAATGCAGCCGCGTCTTCTATCGCCATGCACGCGCCTTGACTTTGATGTGGCATCATCTTCGAAACGAAAATCAGTTTCAATATACATAAGAATGGGATGGTGTGAGAATGGTAGTCTCTTACCGGATGTGCAGCATCGCCAATCAACGCGACACAATCCTTAACAACATACGGATAAGGCTGATGAACCCAAAGCCGCCACGGCCTTACCTCAATCCCAATAGCAAGATGAGCCTTGACCTTCTCATCGAGCTCAGGGTACGGAGCAAGCAGTTCCTCGACAGGCAAATCGGCACCGCCCCACGTCTGATTCGCATAGTCGCCTTTCTCGCGCGGGAAGAAGCAGTAATAGGAGAGAAGTTCGCCGCCGTTGCAAGGGGAGAGGACGATCTTGTCCCACTTGCCTTCCTGGCCGCCCCAGTACTCTAGTGCGCTGTTGAGGGAGTAGTCTTCGAGGCCGAGTTTTTGGATGTCTTTTCGAAGAACATTAGCGTGCAGGCAGCTGGATTCTGCGGGGCGCTTTTCGGGGTTCAGGCCGATGATCTTGCGAGTGACGGAGCCGATGCCGTCGGCGCCGATGATGAGGTCATGGCGGACGGTGGTGTTGTTGGAGAAGGTGATTTGGTTGGTTGGGAGGTGTATACTTTGGCACTGCGACCTCTCGTTAGCATAGTCACGAGACGAGAGAGATCGTATCTTACCGGATGGTTTACCAGCAACTTCACCGGCGTCCCCTCACCCTCCTCCTGCAGCGCACACTCCATAAGCATCTTATGCATATACTGCCGATGAAACATATTATACACATAACCCCACCGCTCCTCATAGTCATCCAGATCGTAAACGCTAACCGGCTCCCCTGTCGTCCAGTCCCGGTTGATGAGCTTCTTTAAAACAACAGGATCGCCCTTCTCTACATCGACACCCCATTCGTGGAGCCAGCGCGTGCCATTGGCGGCACAGGAGACGGATGCGCCTGCTTCGCCGGCGAAGTCATTGCGCTCGTAGATTGTGACGGTGTGGCCGGAGCGGCGGAGTGCGATGGCTGTTGAGAGGCCGCCGATGCCTCCGCCGATTATGCCTATGCTTAGGGGTCTCCAGCCGGCGGCTTCTGTTGAGCCCATGGTTGCGAGGTTCGCGTCGGTTTTGTGGAGGGATGAGTCGCTAAGAAGCCGAGTATAGTATGGACAACGGAAGGCAATGACAAGAAGGCTGAAAGGGGAGTATGAGAATCATCAGATTGGATCATCTCGTTCTAATATACTCTTTGAATACCACATTCATCTCCTTCTCTGCAGCATTCCGACACGGCTCGAGCCACTCAGCCGATGTGAGCCTTCCAACTTCGGAACTGTCTTATCTACAGATGGCTGTAAGAAAATAGCAGGCACCAATATCGCTGCAGAGTTTACACAGACTGTGGTGATAAGACGTGCTGTTCATGACCAAGGTTGGAGAGTTGCGTAGCCGGAGGATGTCTGTGTAACGTCAATACGCGATACGTAGCCGACACGGAAGATCCGACGGAAGAGTTCATCGGATCGCTTCAGGGCTCTCTTGCGCAATTATACTAGTGTGTGAGGGATCATGATCCTTCCGCGTCAATACTTGCCGTTTACTGTACCTGAGTACTTTGGGCATGCTTCGACTTCTCGGACAAACCTATGCTCCTACACTCTCTTTTTTGCAAACATTGATTCCTGACCTCGACTTTTGATACACAGGCTTCTTTTTTGCTCCGCAAAGCCATCTTCGGAAAGGTCATCGCACTGTGTTGGCTTTCGCGTCCCAGCCATCTGTGAGCTGGCTGGTCGTCATGACTTCCTGATCTTAGAATATTGGAGGGTACGCGGATAGTGCTTTTACTGTATTAGTAGTTGTTGCATTACATCCGCTGCGTCGATACAATGGTAGGTCTTGCCTGTCGGCACATTTTGCGCTCCGGAACTCTGCTTCCGTCGGATGTTGCGTCTTGACCCACTAATAACAAATCTTCGAGATAAGGAAGATAACGCCCGGGCAATGGAAGTATGGCGCGAATGGTTGGTGAGCTGGGTGAGTAATGTACTATTGGGTTTCTTGAGTGATGTATGATGTTGTCGGGCCAGGTCTTGACATTCGGCGAGAATGTTAGCGGCGGTGCTTGTTGTGCATCGGCCGGCCGCCATCGGCTGCTCTTAACGCAAACCCTCTCTGCACACTCGACTTCAACGTTTCCAAGAACGACTTTTCGTCATCCTGTTTTGCTCTCATCTCTCTCCGCTCTTATATTGCACTCACGTGGTGTATATCAGTGCTTGATCCCGTGCGCTCAGACTCTCATGCTGCCTCGCACGCCCGTCGCCCCAAATGCAAACGCAGGCAGGTAGCAGGAGCGACTCGCGAGAGCACGCGACCCGTGCAGAACTGCTCAGGACAACAGTGAAATAGGCTTCAGCCTCTTGCTGTTTGCAAAAAGGTAGATTCATGTTTGTCACTCCACTTCACTCAGGTCTAAGGCACGACACGCTGCTGCGACACGATCCGGCTTTCTCTGGACAGCGCTCAAGCTCTCTATATCGTCGCTACGTGGGCCGTGTTAGCGATGACCCGGATATCGAGGTTCTGCTGAGAACTATTACACGAAGACCTTCTAACGAGGCTTTATATTCGTTACTCCTCACGCTGGCTCGTGTGAGCCAGGACAGATGTAAAAGCTCACACCGCGAGCCCAGGAATCGATCGACAAGGGACCTAAATATAAGCTCTATTTTGTCCAGTCATGATTGCGAGAAATACAGATACAGCCACACGGTTCTAATTATACAACAGTCGCGGGGTAAAGTGCTGGTGGTGTGCAGGTAGGTAGACCAGGCTGTCACTAGTGTTTCTCAGCCTTGCTTGCTCAAGTCCTTTGCGACAGTACACTGGTTCACTCTCTTCATGCTTTACAGAATCTATCGCACAGCTTATTCTTTTCGTTTCTGGGGAACGTTCAATTTAATCTAGCAGCAAGGTTGCCACTCTACTTCCATACTATCTCGCAGTCTTGCACTACCCGCATTCCAGCCTTGCACGCTCAGTATATCACCAACAATGGCCGATGCGGTCTTATTTGTAGAGCAAGCCGAAGTCAGTACATCACAAAAGCAAGCCGTGTACGAAAAGCACGCTCTTTGTCCAAATACAAGAACCATACGCGTTCTCGACGTGCGACCGATCCCCCAAGATGCCACCAAGGACACACCGGTCGAATGCACTCTACGCATCATCGATCTCGATCTTAATCCTGGTTTCACAGCATTATCATACGTGTGGGGCGACCCGACTCCCACGCGCAGCATCATATGCGACGGCGTTGTGTTCGGTGTAGGCGAGAACTGTCATTCAGCCTTGTGGCACCTCAGTAAGAAGCTGCAGGGTCTGGTCATCTGGGTAGACGCGATTTGCATCGACCAAGAAGACACGAGAAAAGAGAAAGCATGGCAGCTTCCTCTCATGGGAGATATCTACTCAAAGGCTAAGCAAGTGTATGTCTGGTTGGGGACGGGTGATGAAAAATCCGACCGCGTTATGAGATATCTGGCGAAGGGCGGTCTTCGTAGATATGTGAGAATGGTGCCGAATAGACCGCCGCAATATCGACATTTTGTTGCAGCGCTGCGTCTTGGGCTTTCCTCTTGGAGTCTCACGCACCACCCGGAACCGTTTTGGGGTGAGCACTCAAGTGTCTATCAAGTGTATCAGGCTAACGTAAACAGGGAACAATAAGCCTTTACTGGCTAGAGTTACCCGCCGGGTGCAATACGTCTCAGGAATGGATCTCGTCTACGTTTTCGACCGGCCGTGGAAGAACCGACTGTGGACTTATCAAGAGATCCTGCTGGCCTCCCACCCAGTGATTGTGTGTGGAACGGAACACGTGCGGTGGTCTGACTTCGAGTGGACGCTTCTCTCCCTAAGAACTTCTTTCCGATACTTTCCGAGGGCCGCTATCGCTTGGGAGGCCATCGTCTTTGACAGGGGAAACCTGCAGTCGATTGATCAACCAGCGGAACGAAGCGTACTTCATACTCTTCACGAGCATGAGACTATCGTTAAGAAGATTCTCTCAACGCGAAGATGGCTGCTCAGTACATTTTCTGGTCTATTGCT